GCAGGCCTTAGGCAGGTAATCATAGCTGCTGATTGTTCAAGAGTGCAGTAGCCATGTCATACCTGGAGGACAGAGTTCCACAACAGTCTGCACCTTTATCTGCCTCCTACAGTCTTCCTGCCCCTTCTTCATGAGCCTTGTAGGTGGTGATGTAAATATTCTGTTTGTGACTGAGCGTTCAACAGCCACATATGTAATCATTCTGACCAACTATGAGCAGTTGCAACTACCATATCCCCGTTGCAAAAAAGAAGCTTCTCTGGCCAGGGTGGAGAATAGCACTAATCTGTAGTGTTTGGTTTAATCTTAAGAAAAACCGCTCCTCCAACACAAATAACTCCAATTAGACCAGATTAGACCAAATTAAAATGCCCGCATTTAATAAATGCAGCAATCTCGGGTGGACTAAGACAGCATGGTGGGGAGAGCAGCCACGCAAACCCTGGTGACCAAGTGTTTCTTTTTCTGGCATGAGCCTAAATAGCCTTTGAGAGTGGTCCTGACATGGGGGCAGGGTCAGTGCTGGGCAGGCTGGGAATTAGAGTCTGGACCAGGGCAATTCCCAGGCCAGGGGCTGGGGTGACACTTCCAACTCAATATTACATTCCAGACTCTGTGGATAAAGGGGTGTTAGAGGGCTGGGGTCTTACTTTTGACCAAACATCCCAGAGTCCTTGAGTATAGGGGCATCGGCTCAAGTCTGGCTATTCCCTGCGGGCATGGAGCGATGTGGGAGAGGGGAGATCTGGGAGTTGGTGCTCACGCTCAGTGAGAAGTGTGGCTGGGAGGCACCCTGTTTGCTTCATACTGGAGTCCTTAGGCAGCTGCTGTTTGAGGGAGATGAGAAGGCAAGGAGAAAAAATACTGTTGTCACTGGTCTTATGCATTAACTGCCAGAAAGAACGGAACAGGGAGATGCCCTGGTTGTACAGGTGAGGCTCAGCTGTATCAGAGACAACCAGATTTTAGTTGGTGGGTGTCCTTGGTCTAGGAGAGTTGGTACCAATGGTGAAGTCCCAGGAGCTGTTGCAGGAATTATCTGGAGAGCACTTTGTGAGTTGGTTTTAGCCCAGGTAGCAGGAGTGACCTGTAAAATATGCTTAAAACTGGCTGGGGTTAGTGTAGCAGAACTTTTTCCTGGAACCTGTAAGAGAACTGGAACAGATCAAAAGGCTATTGCTTTAGGTTAAAAGGTAAAAGAAACTGGGAACTCTGGACCTCTGAAGACATTCCTGAAACCTGTTAGTCTGGACTATGTAGCCTGTGAGAGAGGCGCACCTGTCTGTGTCTTAGCAGGAAACTTTATTAAATGCCATGGATGAAGTAATAAGTTAACAGTACCTTAAGTTGTCAAATGCCATTAGACAGATCTGGAAGGGATAAATGAGCAAAAATGAAACAGCTTTTTAGCTATGCAGGCAATCCCAAATCCTCTCCTTAGTCCTTGGAGAACTCCAGTGTTCGAAGCAGTGCTTGCCATGAGCTGCCGAGTACAAGAGGCCAAAGATTTTGATGTGGTGGTGTGTGTGGGGGGGAGATTTAATCTATTTGGCCTGGCAGGATGAGGAGATCTATTCCCTTGGTGAAGAAGCATCCAGGAAGCTGAAGAGGTCAAAGGCCGCTTTTTGCTGCTAAAATACAGACAGGTATGCCTCTTTCACGGGCTTCATAGTCCAGCCTGCCAAGTGCTGACCCCTCCACCAGGGAGGGTCTGGACCACTCCCAAAGGCTATTTAGGCTCACACTGGAGACACGGGGTCTCCAGAGTGTGCATGGGCTCCTCTCCCGCCATGCTGTCTCAGTCCACCCTAGAGTGCTGCTTTTATTAAACGCTGGCATTTTAATTTGGTCTAATCCGGTCTAATTGGAGTTATTTGAGTTGGCAGAGCAGCTTTTCTTAAGATTAAACCAAACATGTAGGCATAAAAATAAAGATTTAGAAAGCAATTTGATGGGCACAGTAGCTTATGCCTTGTCCTGGTTAGTTTTATGTTAACTGAACGTAAGCTAGAGTTATTTGGGAAGAAGGGCTCTCAGTTGAGAAAATGCTCTCATCTGTATTGCCTATACAAGGCAAGTCTGTAGGGTATTTTTTTGCTTAATAATTGATGCAGAAGGGCTCAGTCTACTGTGGGTAGTGCTACCCTGAGCCAGTGGTCCTGCACTGTGTAAGAAAGCAGTGAAAGCCATGAAAATCAAGCTAGCTGTTATGCTCCATCCACGAAGCTCCACAAAACCAGCGAGGAGACCGAGTCCCATACGTAAAAGCAAAGAGCCTTTATTTTATGCAAGTTTGCAAACTTGGTCTCTCCGCATGTCCAAAGTATTGGAATAAACGGAGAGCTCTGAGCTCAGTTAGAGTTGGTTTTTATAGTAGTAAAAGTGGGGGTGAGGGGTTTCTGAGGTGATCCTATCTACAGTGGTTGGAACATTAGGCATTTCCTTTGGGTGGTCTGTTCTTGGATGGTGCTCAGGTAATCTCAGTTTGTGGTCCTTCCTGCAACCAGGTATTGCTTCAGGGTAAACTACTGAGATTCAGGCCTCCATTAAACTGCTGGACATCTGAGTCCTACTCTGGCAGGTGATAATGGTTGGAAGTAAAGAACTTCCTTTGGGTGGCTCCTGCACTAGTAAGCAGTGCTCTTCCATGGTTTATGCTTCAGTTCCTGCTTCTAGCTTCTAGCCATGACTTCCTTCAGTGATGAACTGTTATGTACAGGTATAATGTGACATAAACCCTTCTCTCCCCAAGTTGCCTTTGGTCATGGTATTTCATCACAGCAATAGAAATCTCAACTAAGATGCCTCCTAAGTATCTATGACCGCCATAGCTTCAGTGTTTTGATGGTTCACAGTACCAGTCAGAAAGGAGTTGGTTACCCCCATGACAGTCTTGACACGTCTTGCCTGCTCAGTCACTAATATCTTGTCTTAGTTGCTGTAAGAAAGCACAGGACCAAGGCGATTTACAGGGAGTGCAGGGGAGCACATTTTGCTTTCTAGTTCCAGAGGTTTAGAGTCCCGAGTGGCAAGAAAAGCATGGCAACATGTGGCAGACATGGTGGCTGGAGCAGGAAGCTGAGAGCTCACACCTTGTAAGCATAAGGCAGAGAACAAACTGCAAGCAGGGGAGGCTTTTAAAATCAGAAAGCCTTCCCCCAGTGATATACTTCCTCCCAGCAAGGGTGCAGCATCTAAACATCCCCAAACAACTGGGGATCAAGTGTTTAAATGCTAATATTATGAGAGACAGTTCTCATTCAAACCACCGCATACTCCAAGTACACAGGTGAGTGGGACTGTTGACAATTCTTCTTCATCACCCCACACAGCATTGCAGTCCTGTGAAGGTTACCCAGTTGGGAAGAAGCTTCCAGCTTAGTTCCTACCTGAACATCTTTTTCATTCAGTTTGGAACTGCAGAGCAGAGGATGGGGCTACCTACATTCAAGGTGACTCTTCAATTCTCAGCCAAACCTTTCTGGAAGCATTATAGACACACCCAGATGTGTGTTTCCATGGTAATTCTAAACCAAGGAGATAATTTAGGCTCACCACTAACTCAGATGCTCTGTGTGATGGTTAGTGTTCACTGACGACATCCAGACTCACCTAGGAGGTGGGCCTTGGGCATGCTTCTGGTCTGTTTCAGGGACAGCTCCCCAGGCTGCTAAGAAGAATGTGTGTTTTGCTGTGTATGCACAGAATGTTCTGCAAATGTCTGTTAGGCCCATGTGATCAATGGTGCCACTTAATTTCAACACTGGTAAGCATGCAATGTTAGGCCCATCCGTGGTGGCACACACCTTTAATTCCAGCACTCAGGAGGTAAAGGCTGCTACCCAAGAGCCATCTCACTCTCCCCTGAAATACTTCTACCTATTGTTTCACGCTAAGGTTGTGCCTGTGTTTCGTGGTGAGGACTTTCTTGGTGGCAACAAAGAGATGTTTCCAGATGTTTGCTCCAATTTACTAGCCTGTGCCTTTGAGGGCAAAATTGAGACCAATGACATTCGGAGTTATTATTAAAAGATATGTGTTAATTCCTGCCATTCTGATGTGTTTTTTCTGCTTTATCCCTTTCTTAAATATTATTCTAGCTTGTTTTATTTTTCCTGGGCACCGTGGACTGTTTCTTTCCTCTTCATTCTGAAGGGTGCCGTCAGGCATCTTCCATAGAGCTGGCTCGGTGCTCACACATTCCTTCAGTCTATTTTTACCCTGGAAAGTTTTTCACTTTTCTTCCATTATGACAGATAGATTTGCTGGGTGCAGTATTCTGGGTTGGCAGTTGTTATCTTTCACTACTTTAAATAGATTACTGCATACCCTCGGGCTTTTACTCTTTCAGCTGAATGGATAATGGTGTTGTTCTGACAGCCTGCCTTAAATGTAAATCGGTGTTTTCTTCTTTCAGCTCTCACACCCAGTTCTCTCCTCTCCTGCCTGTATTCCCACCTGTATTCCCACCTGTATTCCCACCTGTATTCCCTACCCACCCCCCACCCCGCCCACGGCCAACTCCAGCTTAACCCCTCCCATCTGCTTCCTATATGAATTCTGAACTCTGGCTCCTCAGCTGGGAGTTTTAGTTTCAGAATTAATCCCACTCTGACCCAGTAGGACTAAATTCTTTGTTTCTGGAAGTCGTGTCTCCACTCAGAACTTGGATTACTTGGAGGCTCGCCTTGAATTCTGCCAGGCTTTGCAGCAGTCTCTCGGTTCTGCACTGAGAAATGCTGGCCTGCTGTGCCCCAGCCTGCTGTGCAGAGGGCCTGCAGAGGGCGAGGGAGGCTGGAGACGTTGGCTCTTAAGACACCATTGTCCTGGCTGAGATAGAAGGTTCTCAGAACCTCCTGCCTGCCTGGGAAGGTCACTCTAAATCCGCTTCGGGTTGGCTCCGCCCTTCATTTTGGCCTCTTGCCGGGGCTGGGAGGAGACAGTTAGGCCTGGGGATGATTGGCTCAGCCCAATAATCAGTCCACACACACACACACACACACACACACACAGTCCGAAGCCAGAAACTTAAGCATTTCCGGAGAAGAAGAGAGGAGATCCCCTGGGACTCATTGCTCCAGAGAGAAGGTGCCAGGCTTGGGGACACACGGAAGGCCTTGACTGAATAGTGGAAGCTCTGTCTACAGCCAGAGTGGCTCCAGGGAGCCCGGTGGTTCTGGAGGTCCATGGTTTCCCAGTTACTACGCCACTTCTCAGTGCTTCAGTCTGGGCCAGTCTAAACTCTAGACAGTTCCCAACTGCCTGTTGCTTTTTCCTGTCCCCCTCTCTCACTGTCTCTCCCCTGCATTGCCCTGGGTGTCTCTTCTCCTTTCTCTATTTCAGTCCTGCCCAGTGACGCAGGCGGCTCACCTCTGTTTCCTGGACCTCGGAATTTCACCCTCTGCCTATCTGCCCTGCAGGATGCTACAGCTGAGCTTGTCCTGGCTGGGACTGGGGCTCGTGGCTGCCTCCCCATGGCATCTTCTGCTGCTGGGTGGAGCCTCCTGGTGCCTGGTCCGAATTCTGGTCTGGATCTATACCTTCTATGAGAACTACTGCCGGCTCCGCTGCTTCCCTCAGCCCCCTTCGGGGCACTGGTTTTGGGGTCATATGGGCATGGTGAGTATGGCTGCAGGTGGGTCTGGGGGTGTCAGGAGGAATGTGTTCTCATAGGGTCAGGAACGGTTCTTAGGAATCTGGGGGTCGGGAGGGGGCTAGGGGCCTACAATAGTTGTAGTGAGGGAAGCCGAGGGGTCCCTCTCTACTCACACACAAAGCAGATCCTCTCCTAGCCTCTGTCCACACTGTTCTGAAGCTTTCTTCTTCTTCCTCCTCCTCCTCCTCCTCCCCCTCCCCCCCTTCTCTTTTGGTATTTCTTATCCCTAGCTAACTTTGGGCCACATTCTCATCAGGACTCATGGTCTGAGGTTTCTTCCTGTCATTTGTCCAGTCCTGTTGTATGTTGTAGTTAGAGGCCCCCGAGACAGGTTGCGTATGACTGAGCCCCCCACCCCACCTGCTGTCCTTACTACCCACTATTGGGCTTGTGGCCTTCTAGTGGACCGCATGTGATAGGACCCTTCCAGGCCCATCTCCGTTGTTCTCAGGCCAGTGCCTGTACCCCTCTGAGATGCCTTTTCCCCTGTGGGAATGAGGTATGATCCTTCTACCTCCGCCCAGAGGACTCTGAATGTCAGAAGACAGATGAGATCTCCCCTCTCCAACAATTCAGGTTCTGTCCTTCCTTACTTATCTAGCTCTCTGTTCTCTAAGTATGTCAGAGGCCTCCATTGAACACTCTGTTTTCCTTTGTGGGGTCAAGATGAAACACGGAATGTCCCGGGTTCCATCACTATCCCAACCACTTCTTCTTCTTTTTCCCTGTGACCTCTTCTATAATGGCTACGCTTTCTGGAAATGGTTTCTTAGTCTCATATCTGTCCCCTTGCTCCATGGTTTCCAATGCCAGAGCCACACTTAGATTTCAGTGTCTCCACCTCCAATGGCATTGATTCAAGTGTGGCTTTTCTCTCACCTCTCACCACGGACTTCTTTCCATCTGGCTTCCCTATCTGCCTTCCCTTATCTCATATCTCCTCAGGACTTCCTCCCCTCTACCTTCCAGCCCAGAAACTTCCTTTCAATCCTCTGCATTAGGCAGGGTTAAGTCAAGCTACTCAAGTTAAGTTTCCCTCTTAGGGCTGGGCCGTGGAGGTTCACGCTTTTAATCCCAGCACCTGGGAAGCAGAGGCAGGCGGATCTCTATGAGTTTGAGGCCAGTCTGGTCTACAGAGCGAGTTCCAGGACAGTCAAGGCTACACAGAAAAACTTTTTCTTTCTTTTTTTCTTTTCTTTTTTCTTTTTCTTTCTCTAGACAGGGTTTCTTTGTAGCTTTTGGTTCCTGTCCTGGAACTAGCTCTTGTAGACCAGGCTGGCCTCGAACTCACAGAGATCCGCCTGCCTCTGCCTCCCGAGTGCTGGGATTAAAGGCGTGCGCCACCACCGCCCGGCTGAAAAACTTTTTCTTAAAAAAAGAAAGCAAACAAAAAAGATTCTCTCTTAGGACATAGTTACAAGCTTTTAGACAGGTTGTCACCACTGGAGCTGGGAGACTAAGCTCATTTTGTGTTTATTTGTTATTTTATCTAGAAACATTGGAAACAACTAGCTGGCATATTATATTCCTTATTTTCCCAGTCATGTTAAAAAGTTTTATTTAGAGAGTCATTACGACCTTGCTCCTCTCAGTGGGTGAATCAGGATTATCAGAGCATTTATCTTGCATAATTCTTTAAGCAGTTCTCACCACTGGTTATCAGGAGTCTGAACTATCAAGCCTTTGGCAATGGTATCAGTTAGTGTCGGGCTCTGTGATTAAACACCATGACTGAAAGCAACCTTAGGAAGAACTGGTTTACTCTCATTCAAAGTTCCAGAGTCCTTCATAGTGGGAAGGCCTGGCAGGAGGAGCAGGAAGCAGAAAGCTCACATTTATCCATAACTAAAACAGAGAGGGAGAGAGGGAGAGGGAGAGAGAAGAGTAGCACAGTCTATAAGACCTCAAAACCTGTCCCCCATGATCTACTTCCTTCAGCAAGGCTCCGCCTCCCGAAGGTTCCATAACTTCCCCAAACAGCACCACCAACTGGGGATCAAGTGTCCCATCTTCTGTGGGCATTTCTCATTCAAACCACTAAAGCATCTTTACAGTTAATCAAATTGCAGTTAGCACCAGATTCCAACAACCCATTAGAGAAAAAGTCCTTCCTTCCTTCCTTCCTTCCTTCCTTCCTTCCTTCCTCCCTTCCTTCCTTCCTTTTATTTTTCCCAAGACAGGGTTTCTTTGGTACTTGACCTGGAACTAGCTCTTGTAGACCAGGCTGGCCTCAAACTCACAGAGATCCGCCTGCCTCTGCCTCCCGAGTGCTGGGCTTAAAGGCGTGCGCCACCACTGCCCAGCTCTGAGAAAAATGTTCTTATAATTCAGTTTCCTTCGAGCCACTCCTGGCACAACAGTTTGTGTTAGTCAAGGTTCTCTGCAGGAACAGGCTCACTACAAAGTATGTGTAGTTTAAAAGAGACTTACTGGAATGATGCTCCACTAGAAGGTCCTGGATGAACTCAGCCACCCATCATGTTTTCTTGATCACAATGATGTTGGACAGTTGGGTGACGTGTAAGCTCCCATCCATCCACCCCACCATCCCTCTTTTGTTCTTCTCCAGCCTGCTCATTCGTCGTAGCCTCATGGGCAGAGTCTTCATACGCTGCCCCCTCCCTCTGCCTGCTCCTTATTCTTCTCATCTTGTCATTTCCAGTTCCTCAAATCCTGGCCCCATGGAATCTTTCTTGCCAAGGCTCTCCACTGTTCTGTCTCTATCATTCTTCCAAGAATCTCTTTTCGTTGTTCTAGGATGAGACTTCCCTGGTCTCCCTGATTTCCCTGTGGTCCCCCTGTGTCCACTTTTGGGTCCTCCCTCCCCTGAACTTTGTACATCGGATCTTTCACTATCTTCTCCCTTCTCTTTCCCAAGGCTACTTCCTTACATGGTGATCCAGCACCTAAGCTGGCTGTCAGTTCTCTCCTGAGGGGAGTTATTTCTTTCCCCTGGGACTGGGTTTCTCTGTGTAGCCCTGGCTGTCATGGAACTCACTCTGTAGACTAGGCTGGCTTTAATCTCACAGAGATTCACCTGCCTCTGCCTCCTGAGTGCTGGGATTAATTCTCATCTCATTTTCCTTCTGAACTGAGAACCAAGACTATAGGTGTCTCTAAGTATTCTTTGCTTCAGAACTGCAGAGGCACTTGGCCAGTGCTGGGGAAAATTAGCTGAGTTTACTCTGAGTCTATATGAATGGTAAGAAGAGAGGGGGAAGATATCAGAAGAATCAGATGTAAAAAAAATATAATAAAGACACATGAAGAGGCATATAGGGGCAAAGGAGAGAGAGGGAGAGAGAGAGAGAGCGAGCAAAAGAGAGCCAGAATGATACAGACACAAAGAGAGTTACACAAAGTGGGACAGATAATTGGTGGTGAAATATATACACAGATACATTCATAAATTTAATTATATCTAAGATATTTTACCTCTCTGTCAGTTATCTATTATGTATTCCTATTCCCTTTACTTATCTATTAAGTATCATATCTATAAATCATTTGTGCATCCATACTTATCCATCATCAATTGTCTATCTATCTATCTATCTATCTATCTATCTATCTATCTATCTATGAAACAGAGAGGGGTTGAAGAGATGGCTCAGCGGCTAAGAACCCTTGTTGTTCTTGCAGAGAAGCTGGCTTCAGTACCTAACCCCCATATCAGGCAGTTGGCATCTGCCTGAAACTACATTTTCAGTTGTTCCAACACCTTCTTCTGGGCTACATGGGCATCTGCATAAAATATGTAGCTATATATACATATACAGATAATAAACCAATAAATCTCAAGAAACAAGACAAGCTGGGTAGTGGTGGTGCACACCTTTCATCCCAGCACTCAGGAGACAGAGATAGGCAGAATTTTATGAGTTTGAGGCCAGCCTGGTCTACAAAGTGAGTTCTAGGACAGCAAAGGCTACACAGAGAACCCTGTCTCGAAAAACAAAATAAAAAATAAAAAAAGAGAGACAGGAGAATAAGGCTTCAGAAAGAGAGAGACAGAGAGCGACACACATAGAGCTATGTATATAGATGTAATAGATGCATATAGAGACATAAATTTAAAGAAAGATGCACACAGTTTAACCCAGGTTTCTAGGTTGCTTTAGCAAGAGCCATAGCTGAATGAACTAATGAGAAGTCTAAGAGTGGTGTGTGATTTGATTGGCAAGAAAACGTGACTATCCGAGGCCCCCATCAAGACTAACCTTCGCCTTCTCCATCCCCAGGTCAAGAGCAATGAGGAAGGCATGCAGCTGATGACTGAACTGGGCCACTACTACCCTGACGTCCACCTCTTTTGGTTTGGGGCCTTCTACCCCATCCTGAGGCTCACCCACCCCAAGTTCATTGCTCCCGTGCTCCAGGCCCCAGGTATTTTCCCCAGGATCCAATGACTGGTCTATTCTCTTCCTTTTCTCCCAGCCTTTCCATCCGTGCACAGGCCAGGTGGGCAGGAGAGAGTGAGTCATGTCTAATAGAAGCCACAACCCTGCTACTAACCTGACTGACCCTGGATAAGGCTTTTGGTTCCTTTAGATCCTGAGTTCTGTTAAATGAGTGAAGGAAATTCTTTCTTAGGAAAGAAAGAAGTTCTACTGGCTGGAGGTGTAGCTTTGTAGTGGGATGCTTCTCTGCAGTGTACAGAGCCTTAGACTGCATGCCTAGGCACTGAAATTAAACAAACAAACAAACAACAACAAAAGAACAACCAAAGAAATTTGTTGGCAGAAAAATCCAGGGAGAGTTCTCTTCAAGCACATCTGGGTTCAGGTCTCAAACATGCTGCAGGATCTTTATATCTTGGTTCCATCTTCCTCTGGGATGATTTCATGCTCATCTAGGGAAAGGTGAACCCTAATGGCTCAACCCCTTGAAAAAAATCCCTGTGGGTCCAGCATGAGTTCTGGGACTCCCTTAACTTTGCCTCATTCGGGTGACAGGACAGATTCTTCATTTCCCACTGTGACTTGATTGTCTCATACTATTTTAGACATAAAATGACGAATAACCAGACTGCATTTTTTTTTTTGTCAGATGGGGTTTCTCTGTTGTAGTCCTAGCTGTCCTGGAACTCACTCTGTAGATGAGGCTGTCTTTGAACACAAAGAGATCTGCTTGCCTCTGCCTTCCAAGTTCTGGGATTAAAGGCGTGAGTCACGACTGTTCAACCTGTTTTGTGAATTCTTCAACAGAACCAAAGCAGAAAAGGACACATGAGTCTTTATAGCACTTTCTTAAAACAAAAGCAAAAGGCTAGAAGGTCTTTTGCATACTTAGGGTATATGATCTTTCCCTACTTTTTGATCCTTGACAAAACATCTCTAGTAAAGAAATAAAATAAAACATGAAGATCTGCTGGGTGTAGCGTGCACCCCTTTAAGGCCAGTGGTAGGGAGGCAGAGACAGGTAGATCTCTGTGTGTTCAAGTTCTATGGGTCTACAAATTTATTTTTCATAAACAAACAAAGAAATCTATTCAATGGCCATTTGTCATAGGATCCAGAATATAGCATGGACAAACATCATTGCAAGCATTCATCATTTTCTGGGCTCATTAGCATAATCAGATCAATTTATCAGGACACCTCTCAAGAGGTCGTTGCCAGGAATGGAGGCTATGACCGCCCTTCTAACAGAGATCTGACACAGACGAGATAGAGCAGAGCCGAACAGAGCAGAAGGGTTTAGAGTTCAGGAAAGTGATGCCCGAAGAGGCACACAGCCCGCCAGGGATTCCACCCACCTGAGTTTAGTGTCTTACAGTTGCTTCAGCCGCTTCTGATGAAAGGGACCTTAAACTGGAAAGTGACTCGGGATGGACAGAGGGTGGGTGGATTACTTCAGGAGATCTGGATGGGTTCATCTGTGTGTGGTTGGCCCTGGAGTTGCTTGATGGCTTGAGAGGCGGTGGCAGTTCTTGGAAGGAGCCATGGGGCCAGCATCCTGTGGCCTTTGAGGATAGGGGAGCCTTTAACTCTAAATACTCAATGCTTAGCATGGTATAAAGGAGGATACATTAAAATTATAAGGCAAGTTTAGGTCACATTTGGAGTGTGAATGGGACACATTTAAATCCTATCTGGGGTTATCTAAAGGGCACAATTAGATCATGTCAGACTGTTGCATTCCAATGTTAGACCATACTGTATCATCTCAGGGAAGATCAAATATGTTGTGTTCCTAACTGTGTCCCTGTCTTACCTTCAGGATGTATCAGGACATGTCAGAGAGTGTGTCCCAGATCTCTGTAAAGGCATATAAGGGTGTCGTACTGGGGTTCAGATGTGGAGTATGTGCTGGACTATGTAGTAGCCGTGTGAAGGCATGTTGGGGCATGCTGTGCCCTGTCAGGTTGATGTTGGCTCTCCCTGCTACTGCAGCCTGGTCTAGCCTTGTCTCAGGTCCTTCCTCCTCCTAGTTTCCTTTGTCCCTTTCCCCTTCCTGCCTTGCTGGACTTGGAGGGGAAGTGCACAGCCCTGGGACTGAGAGTCCCCACCCACTCCCGAAGTTCACATTTGATTTCTCCATGGCCCCTGATTGTCCATCACGGCAGCCGCAGTGGCCCCTAAGGAAATGACTTTCTATGGTTTCCTGAAGCCATGGCTGGGTGAGTACCTCAAGGTCAGGGTCAGGAGACATCCCTGTGGGCCCAAAGAAAGGTGCTACCTTTGCTTACTGCCATGGCTGCCCTCCTAGGGGATGGGCTGTTAGTGAGCACTGGAGAGAAATGGAGCCACCAACGCCGCCTGCTGACACCTGCATTCCACTTTGACATCCTGAAGCCTTATGTGAAGGTTTTTAATAAGAGTGTGAACATCATGCATGTAAGTTTGTGTGTATTTGTTTGTATGGGATAATTTTCTTTAAGATTAAAGAATCTTAATTCATTAATCTTAAAGAATTTAAATATATATTTAAAATATATATATTTGTTTTATGTGTATTGGTGTTGCCTACATGTATACATTCCTAGTGCTTGTAAAGTCCAGAAGAGGGCACTGGATATCCTACAACTGGAGTTAAAGACAGTTGTGCGTCACTATATAGGTACTGAGAATCAAACCTGGATCCTCTGTAAGAGCAACAAGTGCTCTTAACTTCTGATCCACCTCTTCAGCCCCGTGTGGAGTTATTTCAGTAGGCACACACCGGTTGACATTTATGGTGTACCTACTATCCATCCACAATACTATGCCAGTTACATGATCTATATTGTCTGTTGTAATTCCTGCACCATCCTGAGGTCGAGGTGACTATGACAGTTACATCATAGATGAGGGAACTGGGGCCATACGGTACCAGGTTCATCAGCAGTAAGTGTGAGTGGTGGACTGTGGCTTATGGGACAACAGAAGTGGTCAAGTTAATTGTTGCTGAAGGCTTAACAAGTGGGAACCAGGAGAGGGAAATGTGCTGACCAGAGGCATGCAGGCATTAGACTTGAACTCGGGGTTTCTGACTCCTAGCGTGTCTTCTTTTCTTCCATCCACATCTGGCTTATTATGGAGGCAGAAAACCAAGTGCGCTCTCTCTCTCTCTCTCTCTCTCTCTCTCTCTCTCTCTCTCTCTCTGTGTGTGTGTGTGTGTGTGTGTGTGTGTGTATGTGTCTATCCCAGTGTTTGAAGTTAGGGAGGGACACAGTAACCAATGCCTTGTTCTGCTTCCTTCTCTGTCCAGGCCAAGTGGCAGCACCTGACCGCCAAGGGCAGCGCCCGTCTGGACATGTTTGAACACATCAGCCTCATGACCTTGGACAGTCTGCAGAAATGTGTCTTCAGCTTAGACAGCAACTGTCAGGAGTGAGTCACTGTCTTTGTCTGGGAACCTGAGCTGTGGACCAAGGCAGGAGGGTGGGGAGAGAAGACTGGCCAGAGGGAACAGAGGGGACTCCCTGGAGGATGTGGGTCATAACAGGCATTGAAGGATGGTGAAGGGAAAGAATCAGGGAGGTAAGATTGCCTGGATAAAGGTAAGATGTGGCTAAGCAGTAAATGAAGCAAGCAAAGCCAGGCAGTGGTGGTGCACACCTTTAATCCCAGCACTTGGGAGGCAGAGGCAGGTGGATTTCTGTGAGTTTGAGGTTAGCCTGGTCTACAGGACAGGCTCCAAAACTACACAGAGAAAACCTGTCTCAAAAAACCAAAGCAAACAGGCAAGAAACAAACAAACAAAGTAAATCAGATAATCAGTCAGACAGGCAAGGGGGTGGTCTCCAGTCACTGTCTGAGCAAGACAACTGAAGAAGGAAAGGCTGATGTCGGCTCCCGGTTTCAAAGGTTTCAGTCCATTCTGGGTGGGGCAGGGCATCATGGAGCCCCTCCCATTATGAAGGAAGGCCAAGAAGTGGAGAGGGAGAGGTAGTCTGTCCTAGCAAGCTTCCCCCTCTGTTTCCTGCTCTTCTTTCTGGGTCTCTAGCCCGTGGGAAGAGACTTTTGCCCTCTCCCTCAGCCAGTGCTCTGGGGAACACCCTCATAGAGGAACCCAGGGATGGGGCTCGGTCAGTGATGTGCTTGCCACGCAAGGCCACAGACTTGAGTTCTGATCCCAAGCTCCCCAAGCCAGTGTGATTGATATCTGTGATCCTGTGCTGGAGGGAGCTTTAGACAGGGGAAATAACTGGAGCCCATCCGCTAGCAGAGTCAATGAGCTTCCGGTTCAGTGAGAAACCCTTCTCAGAAATCAATGTGGAGCTGCGTGCTGGTGGCACGAAGCAGAGGCGGGGAGATCTCTGTGAGTTCAAGGCCATTGTGGTCTATAGAGCCAGTTCCAGGTCAGGCTCCAAAACTCCCTGTCTTGAAAAAACCAAGCTAAACCAAAACAACAACAACAACAACAACAAAACTCAAGGTGGAGTGCAATTGAAGAAGGTATCTGAGGGCAACCTCTAGACTCCACAAGCGTGTGCACAAATGTGTATCAGCACATGTACATGAGACAACTACACGGCATGTGCACATAAGACATATGTGAGACATGCACACACAGACACACACACTGAAAGTAAGTGATTTGATCTAAGCACTTCTTAATCTAATCAAGGGGGTGGTCTCCTGTCACTATCTGAGTGAGACAAGAAGTCTCACTCAGATAGTGACCCAGGTAGTGACTTTGTAGACCCAGGGAGTCTACAAAGAGAGTTACAGGACAGCTAGGGCTACTCAGAGAGACCCCGTCTCAAAACTTGCCCTCCTGAAATAAAAAAAAACCAAAACACAAACTCCCCCAATCATGCGGAGATAACAGTGCCCCTCCCCCCGTCGCCTTCCTGTGTCACTTGCTTTTCTGTTGCTGTTATAAAAGCTTGGTCTTTTAGAAGGAACAGTATATTTTGGATGACTGTTCTGAAAGGGAAATCCATAATGCAAATGAGGCATGGTATCTGGAGCAGGACACTGCCCCACCATGTTTCAGCAGCTGCATCCAGAAAGCAAGGAGCACAGACTGGAAGTGGGGCAAAGATACAGATTCTCAAAGTACACTCCACCAATAAGGCTTTCATCTTAAAAGCTCCATAAGCTCTTCTTCCCTCCCTCCCTCCCTCCCTCCCTCCCTCCCTTCTTTTTTCTCTTTTTCTTTCCCTCCCTCTCTCCTTCCTGCCTTCTTCCCTTCCCTTTCTTAATGGTATCTTCCTATGTTGTCTAGGATAACTCAGAATTGAACAGGTACTTCAGGCTGAACTTGAACTCATGATCCCCCTGCCTCCCTCTCCCAGGTGCTGGGATTGCAGTCAGAAGCCACCATGTCTATCTAGTGGGCAGATCTTAAGGATGTTGTATACCCAGCAAGAAGGACATGAACTCTCTGAGTTTTCCAAGCAGTCATGGAAGGCATTTAAGCATTTGGGAGTCATAGTCACAGCTAAGACCAGACAATTGACCTAGTAGAGGAATGTCACGTAGACACAGGATACAAGGGATCTGAAGAAGAGGATATGAACTTGATTGCAAGAAATCAGGAAAGAAAAGATGGAGCAGATGCTGAGTGAAAGAATGGTAGGAACAACCATATCTACCTTTGAGTCCTGGTGGGCCAGGCTACTCACGGGGAATAGGGAGCAGGAGAGGTAGGTCTGGCTAGAGCCCTTTTCTGGATAAATTACGCTTCTGTGACTCTGGCTGAAACTTCTCTGGGGTTTCATGTGTGTTACGTTGCTTTCTGTCTTTGGCCTGCCCTGCAGGTCTCCCAGTGAATACATTGCTGCCATTTTGGAGCTCAGCTCCCTAATAATGAAACGGCACTTCCAGCCCATCCTCTATGTGGACTTCCTGTACTATCTCACTGCTGACGGGCGGCGCTTCCGCAAGGCCTGTGACCTGGTGCACAACTTCACAGATGCTGTCATCAGGGAGAGACGCCGCACCCTCTCCAGCCAAAGTGTTGATGAATCTATGAAGGCCAAGACTAAGTCTAAGACTTTAGACTTCATTGATGTGCTCTTGCTGGCCAAGGTGGGCTTTTGAGGGATCTCAACTGAGAACTTAACCAAGAACCTTGACATTAAATGTTAGATAGAAGTTGGACTTGATCAAGAGGGTATTTGGGGAAGCGATGGGTAGTGTTTATAATAAGTAAGGACAGGATACAGAGACATTTTAGAAGTTCTTCTGTTGAGCACTGTGTGGAAGGAGTGGACAACAGCAGGAATCCAAGGAGGGAAGTATAGGACCAACTCTGGAAAGGACAGGGAAGGCATTCTTTGTGCACAAGGGGACAAGAACCTGTCTCAGGTCAGAGTCACTTCTCAGACATGGAATGAGTTGAGGGTACTAGTTTTGTCTTCAGGATGAACATGGAGAGGAGCTGTCTGACGAGGCCATCCGAGCAGAAGCTGACACCTTCATGTTTGGAGGTGAGGGTCCCTGTGTAGGTCTACAGTGAAGGTAAGAGTCTATCAATCCCAATTAGGTGTTTTGAGGAGACACCAGATCCCTCCGTTCCACCATCCACCCTCCCCTCCCCTTTCCTTGAGATGCTAAAGCAGCCCAGACACTCAGACTTTTCTTTGTGCTCCTCAGGTCACGACACCACCGCCAGTGGGCTCTCCTGGACCCTGTACAACCTGGCAAGGCACCCGGAATACCAGGAGCGCTGCCGGCAGGAGGTGCGGGAGCTGCTGAGGGACCGAGAACCAGAGGAGATAGAATGGTGAGCGCAGGTTCAGTGCCATGAATACAGTTGTGCACCAGAATGGTAGTTGCTATTTTTGATTTGTACAATCTCACTGATTTATTTATCTGTGTGTGACTGTGATGGGGGTGCGCACGTGCCAGGAACACATGTGGAGATCGGAGGACACCTTTCAGGAGTGGGTCTGTTCTTCTACCACGTGGGTTCTAGGGACTGAACTTGGGTGGTCAGGATCAACAGCAAGTCACCTCCATGGCTCTACTTTAATTTTTTTTCTAGTTATAAGCTGGCCTGGAACTCACTATTCTCTTCTCCTGTGTCTCTCTCTTAGAATCACATGAACAGCTTGGCCATCTCTTGTTAAATCTCTACTGTCTGACCCCTGAGAATTCCTAGATCATAACCTCTACTCTTCTCTTGGGTTATGTGTCCTTTGTTTGTTGATTTGAATCACTCTCTCACACACACATACATACATATACATAACGTACACACTCACCCCCTTACACACTCACACACATACACACAGTCGCACACATTCACCCACACACACAAAACTCACTCACACACACATTCACACACACACACTCACACACACACTTACCCACACACGCACCCCCCACACATTCACACACTCACTCACACATATGCTCACACACACACTCACACACATTCATCCACATACACACTCACACACACCCACCCACTCACACACACATTCACCCACATACACATATTCACACACACACACACACGTACACATTCACCCACTCACACAATGCACCCACATACACACTCACACCCACACCCCCCACACTCCCACACAAACACATGCTCACACATATGTCATTGTAACTGGCAGACAGGATTGTAGGCATGCCTGAATCACTCCTTTGAATATTATTCATGGTATCGCATGACATATAGATTCTTCAGTTGTATGAATAATATACCTCCCTTTCCTTCTGGTCTTTCAGTTCTAGCTTTTGGAGTTTTAAGAATTCTTTGTGTTCTGTCATGAGAATGTCCCTTATGCTGTCTTATTGGACTTTGTAGATTTTTTCATTCTCCTTAATCAGTCTGGTAAGGGGTGGGGCACATGGAGAACTGGTAAGTGGGTACAGAGTTGCAGTTAGTCTGGGACGCTCCCCACTCTAGCTCAGTCAAAGTTAGCAATAACCTGCTGTGCACTTATTCTCGCCCCAAAGAAATGATAAATCTTGGAAAATGTTAGATGTGATTAACCAATGTTATAGGCCCAGTTTTTCAGATGCAGTGGAAAATCCATGCTTTAGTCAGAATAGGCAAGTATTTATTTTTTACTTATTCGCTTTTAAAAAGATTTATTTTTATTTATGTTTGGATGTACACTTGTGCCCCTCAACAACCAAAAGCGTTCAAATCCTCTGGAGATGGAGTAACTGGTGGTTGTGAGCTGCCCCGTGGGGATGTTAGGAAGTGAGACTGGGTCCTCTAGAATAGTGGCGAGCACCCTTAACCTTGCTGAGACACAGTCTCCTAAAGCTAAGGCTGGCTTTTAACTCAATGGGTAGCCTAAGCTGGCCTTAACATTGTGATCCTCCTGCCTCCAACTACAACATCTTGAGTGCCTCCATTTGATTTTTAAAGGTCGTTCACATAAGTGTATGTGATAATTCTGTTTTGGCAAAGATACCTTTTGATAAGTATGTTTTTCTTAGAAATGTTCCTAAAAATATTAAGTAAATTTTCCCACTTTTTCTTTTTTGTTTTGATTTTCTAATATTTTAGTCTTTGATTCAGAGTCAAGGGTAGTGGCTCCCTCCTCTTCTCTCAGCACTGATGAGGCAGAGGCAGGAGGATCAGTGCAAAGCCATCCTCTGCCTTATAGGGAGTTCAAGGCCAGCATGGGCTATATGGAGACCTTGTTTAAAAAACAACAACAACAAAACAATGTATATCCAGGTATGGTAGCACAAGTCCTTTAAGTCCAACACTTGGGAAGCAGAGGCAGGTGTATCTCTGAGTTTGAGGCCAGCTTGGTTTATAGGGAGTTCTAGGGTAGCCAAGGCTAGTTAGTGACACCTTGTCTGAAAAACTAAGTAAAATCTATAAACAGGGCAGGGGAGATGGCCCAGTGGTAAGGTACTTGCTGCTAGCATGAGGACTTCAGTTTGGATACCCAGAATCCACGTAAAAAGGCTCAGGGAGCGGGAGATCAGATTGTGCTGGACAGTCAGTGTAACCTAAGCATCCAGTTCTTACATGCAGGGAGAGACACACTATCTCAAAACAGAAAATATAGAAGGATAGAGGAAGATGCCCAAAAGTGACCTCTGACCTACACACACACACACACACACACACACACACACAAATAAACATCATAAAATGAACAAGTATGTTTGATTCATCTTAAGTTAACTTTGTTATAGGATTAATAATCACGGGGAGGCAGTAGGAATTTCAGCAAACGGCAGTGAGGCTGGTCAGTACCGTTTATACCGTTTACTCTGCGTGTGTGTGTGGTGGTGTGTGTGCGTGTACGTGTAGTACACGGTACATGTGCGGAGGTTGGAAGACAATCCTCGAGAGTTGGTTCTCTCCTATTACCCGGTGTATCTGGGTATTGGATTCAGGCCGTGAAGCGTGGGTGCTAACCCTCCAAGGCCAAGCCATCTAGCAGGCCCGGCATTGTTTTTACTATCTGGATAATTGTGTGTTGTTTCTTTAGGGACGACCTGGCCCAGCTGCCCTTCCTGACCATGTGCATCAAGGAGAGTCTGCGCCTGCATCCTCCGGTCATCTCCATCTCTCGGTGCTGCACCCAGGACATTGTGCTGCCAGATGGCCGGGTCATCCCTAAAGGTGTGGGCTGTATGGGGGGGGGGGTGGCTCCTGGTGGTCCCCTGTGGCAGGGTTGACTTCCTCCTGACTGTCACTTCTTGTCCAAAGGGAATGACTGTATCATCAGCATCTTTGGGGTTCATCACAATCCTTCAGTCTGGACAGATCCTGAGGTGCGACCCCCCTCCCAATTCTGGGGTGGGGGGAGGGGCAAGGCTTGTACCTGGGAATCCAGAACTGTCCCTCTTCTGTCACCATATCTATCTTTTCTGGGGCTGGCTGGGCGTGCAGAAGGACACGGCCCATAAGTTTAGTCTTGCTTGGCCCGCAGACCTACGACCCCTTCCGCTTTGACCCAGAAAACCCTCAGAAGAGATCACCTCTGGCTTTTATTCCCTTCTCCGCGGGGCCCAGGTGAGAGCGATAGTGACCAGGAGCTGACAGCGGGAGGTAGGGGGGAAATGGGAAGTCGGGATGGTTAGGTTCTGGGTCTCCTTCCCTCCCTCTGCTCAGGGTGTGTGCAAAGGTCTAGAGAGCCAGGATTGGAAGGAGGGGGCTCTGTGCTCAGAGCTTCGCCCTGGTGTATCTTGGGCGTGAGTCTGAGTGAACTTCGGGCGTGCGGATGCACACTCGGGGTCCAAGGAGCGTCACTGCCCCTCCTGCCCCTAGGCTGCCCAGGCGCAACCGGGACTTGGCCAAGTTCAAACCCCAAGGGTTGGTTGTGTCCGGATGTATTCAGAGTCCCCCACCCTGTCCTCCCGCAGAAACTGCATAGGACAGACTTTCGCCATGAACGAGATGAAGGTGGCGCTGGCGCTCACACTGCTGCGCTTCCGCCTCCGGCCCGACGACAAGGAGCCGCGCAGGCAGCCGGAGCTGATCCTGCGCGCAGAGGGCGGGCTGTGGCTGTGGGTGGAGCCGCTGAGCTCAGGATCTCAGTGACTGGGCCTGGGACTGCCCCACTCACTTTCCTCGGAGAATCCGGAATAAGCAGAGCCTCACCGAGAGCCAGCAGGCGGCGCTGCAGGACAGTAGAGAACCACCGGTGGCCTGGATGAGACAGGTGGCGCTGGTTTCCTCTTGGGTCATCCACAGGACCTGCAGACTGATGGGAGTCACCCAAGCTCAAGCGCGGACTTTATTTTGGCGATAGAGCCACCATAGATGTTTGAGCTGTGAGTTCCTAAACAGCCAGGGCTATGTAAAGAAACCTAGTCTCACCCTACCCCCCAAAAATGCGTGATGGGGGAGCATTACTCATATCCCATAGGTCTTGTTCTTTGGGGAAAAAACTGGCAGGTGACCTTTGGGCTTGACTGCCTTGGGTGTGCAACCATTGTTTTCGAGGGAGAATACCGAATAGGTATTTTGGTAGACATTGGGGCGGACTATTTCAGTGACTGATTTCCACAGTTTTATAGTGCATCTTAGAAGGATAATGGGAATCCTGCAACTGTATTTTTATTTTTGAATATTTTTTGAATCTCCTATGCCGCTTGTGTTTTCATATAAAGTTCACAATGAATTTACTCATGCAAAGAGCCCTGCCGTGATTTTGAGTTTTCTGTAAATTAAAGGACCAGGTGAGGAGAATCATCATCTCACTATTACTGAGCCATTCTATCCATAAATATTGTATAATTCTGCATACAATACTGAGTAATCCTGGATTTCTTTCACCCAGTGTCTTGAAGTTCTCATCACAGATAAGCCAAATATATTTTGTTCAACTTTTACCTGAGTAAAATTTCATAGCATATATTCAATAATGATTCTTGAAAAAATTATTTACTAGTTATTGTTATACATAGAAGAAATTGGAACACTTTTTAAAAATGATTTACTTATTTATTTATGTATATGAGTATTTTGTCGGTATACACCAGAAGAGGGACTTGGATTCCCATATACTTATAGACAACTGTCTATAACTGTAATGTGGGTTTTGGGAATTGAACCCTGGACCTCTGGAAGAGCAGCCAGTGCTCTCTTAATCACAAAGTCATCCCTTCAGGCCTTCCTTCCTTCCTTCCTTCCTTCCTTCCTTCCTTCCTTCCCTTTCTCCCTCCCTCCTTCTGTTCTGTTCTTTTTTTTTTTTTTTTTTTTTTTGAGACAGGGTTTCTTTGTGTAATCCTTACTGTCCTGGAACTCACTTTGTAGACCAGGCTGCTCTTGAACTCACAGAGATCCTCCTGCCTCTGCTTCCCTCTTTTTTTCTTAAAGTGGAATATTATAAATATTTAGACTTGCAGGTGTTCCGGTATTCCAGTTCATTTGTACTCACTCTCCTCTCTTACTCCAACTTCTTTGTGATTTAAAAACCATTTTTATCCCATAAGTAATACACAAAGAAGCTTGATGCGTGGGTAACCACAGTGTGCTGAGCACTGCATAGGATAGATTTTTGTGCATTGTCTAGGTATCATGCTATCAGAATACAAGTAATGGCATGTCCTTAATCACAAAACCTTTTTCCCTTGACCTTTCTTTCTTTCTTTCTTTCTTTCTTTCTTTCTTTTTTTAAAGATGTGTTTATTTAGCTGGGAGGTGGTGGTGCAGGCAGCACACTAATGACCTCTGCAAGAGTAGCACATGTCCTTAGCCTCTGAGTGAGTCAGCACTTCAGCCCCATTTTTTTTGTTGGTTTTTTCCATGTAAAATTTTCTAATATGGATATCTACTTCATCAGAGAGTCCTGATGTGATTTTAAGTCTTTAACTTGTTGTTAATTTTTGTGTATGTCTGAGTGTGTTTGTTCATGCATGCAGCCATGAATGTGTGAGTGTGGCGGTCAGAGGACAATATGGATTGGTCCCTACTTTTCCACACGTTTGAGGCAGGTTCTCTTGAGCATCTAGAACGGTCCTTATAAATCTGTGGGGTCTCAACCATTAGGTTGATGACAACCATCTGTGATACCATCAGAAAACACAGATATTTACATTATGATTTATAACAGTATCAAAATTATAGTTGTAAAGTAGCAATAAAAATAATTTTATGGTTGGTGTCAGCACAGCATGAGGAATTCTATGAAAGGGTCACAGTATTAGGAAAGTTGAGAAGCACTGATCTAGAGAGTCTCCTTTCTCCGGTTCCCAACTACCTGCAGGGGTACAGTAGGGATTACAAACACCCCACCTCTGTCCTACAAGCTCTAATTTTGATCTCAATGCTAAATGCATCTATTCAGCTTCTAAACCTGCCATTATTTAAAACAACCCCAACACTATTCAAAAGTCTTAAGTTCACAATTACTTATGAGATGTGAGCGGAGTCCTTCATTGTGACGTCCTATAAGAAACATACAACAAGCAAAAAACCCACCTACTAATATATATCTAGTATGTATAGGACAGAATAAGCATCTCAGTCTAAGATGGAATAATATGGGCACAGGAAAGAAGAATAAGAAAGAACAAGCAAAAGACTGAAACGAATCAGGGAAACAAGCAACAACAACAACAAAACATAGCCGCTCCATCTCCAACATCTGGGACTCCTGATGGAATCATTTCTGCTCCAACAGCCCTTGGCAGCCGTGTCCCTTCAGCAATCTCTGGCAGCAAATGGAATCTTTTTTGAGTCTGTTCCACTTTGTGCCTAAAGCATTCTACAGCTTCTCCCAATATACCAGGATCTTCGTATCAACTAAGCATTCAAATTCCCAGCAATATGCACCAGACTGTTGAGACCTTTCTAAAACCCATCACCAGGCTTCAGCGGCTTTCTGGTAGCCTGGTGCAAGCCTACAAACCCCCCCATCAATCTCATGTTTCATGCTCAGAGAGCCAGTACTATATGTGATGTTGTTGACAGGTTCTGCTGACCCTAATGGCCTTTGTGTCCCAGGAAAACAATGCTCTAGGTGACCACTTTGCATCAGGGAGTCCTGTCAGCAGCATTCTTAGTCCAGAATCCCTCCTTTCAGACGTATTTTTATTGTTTCAAGTGGAGCCATCAGTGACGTGTCTTGCCTTCAGGGCACCTGCCTTACTGTCCCAGGCAGGACAGGTTTCTCTTTAGTGGGTTAATCTGAGCATCACAGCTGTTTTCTCTTCTCCCTCCTTGTCTGCCACGTCAAACACTCTCACACCCCTTTCTGCACAGACTTCACATTTTCATGTCTTTCTCTTCTGCTCACTGTGCTCTTTCTCACAGGAGACCTGGATAGGAGCAGTGAGGAGTAACCATGGCACAGCCTGAGTGTAGCCAATCCTCAAATTTCCTCAGCCACTCAAATTAGCCCATGGATTTTGAATCCAGCTTCACTCAAGTTCTCGGAACATGAGCAGACTGAAGCCAATGGATGCCTTGTGGCCCTCAGAATTTTACCTAAATGACACCATCATTGTTCATATTCCTGTCAGCACTGTGGTGCCCTGAGCTCTAATCAATGTTATGGGTATGGGGCCATTCAGAGATTCACCAGCCTGGCCATGAATACATTTTAACAAGTAAGAGGCTTTATTAAACATTGGCCAGGTCCATACCTGAGTCTAATGCTCAGAGTATTGTGCTAAATTACGTTAGCCAGGGACTTTAAAAGACAAAACGCACAAGGCTACATACTTCCTGCCTTTGAGCAATCAGAGACAAGCACATGTGCTGACGTATGTCCTGTCCATGTGCTGTCAAGCAAGCATCCTGTGCAACTGGAGCAGCCAACCCCATTAACAGAAGCGAAAACACGTGGTTTGTTGTTTTACGTGACCAACAGCCTCCAGCATTCCAGGAAAGGCAAGTGGCGCTTACGGGTTAGAGGTGCTTTTTGTTTTATAGATCTCTTAAACAACCAAAACTTATAATATTAGGCACTACAATCAGAACATCCCATTCTGTTCTGCTTATAGTAATCTAGGGATTGTATATCACAGAATTTCAAACTTCCATGTTCCTTCAACAAACCAGCCCCAAATTGCTCCTAATGTGGTAAGGTTATCACACTAATGACCTCATTCCTCATATAAATTTCCTGTATTAGCTACTTTTCTCTTCTCACTGATAAAATACCTGGAAAAGTTAGTTAAGGAAGGAAGAGATTCGTTTTGCCCAAGGGTCCTGTCCATCGTGATGAAAACATATGGAGGCAAGAGCATGAGGCAGCTGGTCACACGATATCTTAGTCAGGAAGCAAAGAGGTTATTTGTGGTATTTGGCTCATTTTCTTATTTTTATTTAGCCAGGGAATACAGTCCTGGAAATAAAGTTGCCCACATTCAGGATGGTCATTCAACCCTTCTGAAAGACTCTCCTGGGCACCCCCAGAGATCTGCTTCCATGGTGATTCTAGATCCAGTCAAGACAACAGTGATGATTGACTATTGTGACCATTATATCAGGGTCTGTGTAATTTATCAGAAGATTAAACTTTGCTATATGTCATACATTTGTCTTATCATATGTAGCCCAGGTTGGCCTTGTTCATATTCCTCTTGCGTCAATCTCCTAAATGGCCTGATTATAGGGGTAATCTTTGTTTATTTATAGCTTAATAAATTAATTTAAGAAGCTGACACCTGTGATTATGGGGTTGGGAAGGCCAAAGTCTGTATAACCCCAAAGCCTGGGTGGGGCTTCAGACAGGTGTGTTTTCAGTGCACACTTCTTCCTGACTGTGGAAGTCAGTGTTTGTTCTCAGGTCCTTCCAAAGATTCACAATGGCCAGAGGAGGTCATCAGTTTCTTCTGGTCTTGACCCCAGCAGCAGTATCGGTTTCTGTGGGTGGAAAGAGAATTTGGTTGAGACACAGTGTCATAGAAAACACATAGAATTTAATCAGAGCAAGGAAGGAAGCAAGAATATACTCCTAGAAAATGAGCAGGTGAGGGAGCTGAAGTTGCATTTTATGTTTCAATTACTATGCCTAAGAAATCCATGAAACAAAAATGCCTCTGCTCTGCAAGCCCCTTGCCCAAGGACAGGTAGTTCCTGAAATGCTGGAGACCACATGTGCTCACTCCCCTAAACAAGTTTGTTTGACCCATCTGTACCGGTGTGCTTGATCATATGTGGCCGGGAGGATGTACGTAGCAGGAAACATCGTAGGCTCTGATTGGACCTGATGGGAAGTGCAATGAATTATGAAATCTCTTGTTAAGTCATTGCCATACTTGATTCTGGGCCATTTCCCAGGAACTTGGATATGGACCAGGCCAGAGTCCATCCACCCGCCCAGTATTTAATTAGAACTTACTTCAAATTTGACTTTAAAGTGTGGTAGTGGTCATGTTCTCACATTAACACTACCAAGTCCAGCAATCAAAAGCCCCCTTTGGTTTACCTAATTAATACGCCCAATAAAAATTATATATCTCATCCTAACATGGGGTTTCTCCTTTCCCCTTTATAAACCACCATTTGCCTATGGGCCACATCTGTCTCCTCTCTATCCAGTGGCAGTCCTTCGCCTTCTGAGACAAATACCCCTGCCCTTCTCCCTGTTACCTTCCCCTTCTCCCTCATTCTCTGTCTCTGTCTTTGTCTCTTATTCCCTGCCCTCTGTCCCTCTGGGGAAAATAAATCTCCTTTGTGCTGAGAACTTGGTCTTGGGGGCCCTAAACTGATCCCAACTTCTTACAGAAATAGTTGTGCAAAATGTTAGAACACGCATGTAGGTACAAGTACTCCTGAGGTTGAAAGTTTACTAGCAGAAAGGGGAACGGCACTCTGTCAAGCTCCCTGGAAAGGAAGTCATGAAGTTGCTTTAGTCTGACCTTATCATGAACCACT